ATCTTGCGGCTTGACTGGCCCACGGTCCTTTCCACCAGCTGATGGGAATGCCATGTTCGCTTGCCTGATAAGCCATGGCTAAAAGTATTGTTGGCTGATTTGTTGTGAGAGAAAAATACTATTTGTTGGCTAAAAAAGTACGACTTATAAACCAAGCGAACAGCTGTAACTCTTTCCAGTCTATGCCATGCGGGCCTAAGACGCCATGTCGCCGGCCAGCGGTTGGCCGCCATCCTCCTCAACGGCTAGCCTCTACACCGCCCCTTCTCCACATACCCCGACGGGTGGGCCCACAGCACGCGCGCCCCCGCCATCTTCTTCTCGAAAAATAAAGCCCAAGCTCGTGTGGCCGTGCCCGCGCCTCCAAAACTCATCCCCTGATTTGGCGACGTTGCCAGACAGCCCCCACAACCCGCGGTGGATGCGTGCAGCGAGCAAACCGCGTCCGTGTCCACGGTTTTTGAGCCCACGCGCTCTCTTTCTGACATGCGGGGCAAGCCAATGATGTGGCAGCATCGAACCGTCTCTCTTTTTGATTTTTTTTATTTTGCAAAAAAATACTAAAATTTCAAAAGAGCATAAAAATGTAGCATGAGAAGGCACTGGTAACGTAGAAAACTATTGTAAATTTCGCAAACAATGAAAAAGCACACCGTGAAGTATATTTCAGTTATAGAAAAATAGTTTGTTTTCTAGGCTACACATATAAGATGGAAAAAAATAACAATAATTCCAACTATCAACTGTGTTCCCATGAGTATATATTCCAAAAGCTAGGACAACGTTTCGTTTCTTGCGTGTTTCAGCAGCAGTTCATCATCGTGACAAATCTGTCGTAAAGAAATAACAAAAACGATCAATCTGGCGGCATAGTTTGGTTGAGCGTAAATGGACGAATAGAGAAAGAAACAACTTAGGATATCAAAGGTTGGCTACAACATGAAATGTTTATGCATGTCATTGCATTTTTTTAATGGCCTGCTATGGTACAGCAATCGTTCATTGGGCATGTAGGTAACCAATGTGCTACTCGTTTATACTTATATTAATAAACATGCAATCTTTGTGTGGTTCACCAAGTAAATACACCCATCAAAAGCACAGTTAAGTTTGTCGTATTTCAAATCACAAAAGAATTGGTAATGCCTTTAAAATCTAGGTTGGAAACGGTGACACTATAGGTAGAAAAAATCGCCACAACATGAATGCACCAAGAGTTTGCATTGGAGAGGAAAAGTAATGAAAGAATCACCTGGAGGCTATATATAAGCCGGCGCGTAACAGGTCGCTGCGATAGGAGGTGAGATTCTTAAATAGCTTCGTAAATGAGAAGGTGGCAAGGCTGAGATATCATTTGGTGACAGTTCACCGCTGCTGGTATCTACATCACAAACCCAAACCATTTGGTTGACAAATGACTACCAAAACTATGACACCATAAGCAGAAAAATTCTGCGACGCCATCAATGCACAGCTATCACAGTGGTCAACAGATACAGTGAGTTAAATTAAATGTATGGCGCATCATGCATGGAGAAGTAATGATTTGGGAGCAAACATGTAGTCGACTAAGCATATATGAGCAGTGGCGGAGCCTGAGTTAAAATCAAGAGGGGGCCAATTCCATAAGCTCATGCCACATCTAACTAGATGCTACTACCTTCCAGCTTGCGCTTGCTCCATGAACAAGAGAAGCCAGCAAGTAAGATGAAAAATGAGATGAAGTGCTTGTGCATATGTAAAACTCGTTTGATGACATCGTGGATGAGCTCCAACATCATTCAATACAATGTCTGCCAATGCTTTAAGAAGAGAAATGCTTGCGAAACATATATTGTCTTTACGTAGTATAGCAATTGTTGTAGGCAGCAGCAGCCAACTGTCATGGGAGCTAAAAAAAATCTATAGTGCCTGATAGCAGTTGCAGCGTTTAGAATAGAAGGTATTGCTAGCCACAGTCCACGTCAAAGAGGCTATATATCTTAGTAAATTTCAGTCCAACATATTACACCAAGCTAGCATGAAGTCCAGCATATCAAGTATCAAGCATTAGTAACAAATAAAAAGTCACTTTTCACCTTCCTACACGTAGACCAGGGAGGGAAGGAGGGAGGGAGGAGAGCAGTTCAAAGACTTCAGGCGCATATATAGCAGTGCAAGCCAATTTTTTAATCAAAGCACCGTGTGCTGAGTTCGGCAAGAGGTGCTAGGATAGCACCAGACGAACAATTCACTCAAGTGTATTGCACTTAATAACGTACGTCGCAGCTGCTCACGTTTCGCTCTTCAGAAAACTCCCTTGACCGGGGGGGGCGCAACCCCCTATGGCCCTCACGTGGCTCCGCCCATGTATATGAGGTGGTGTGGAAACCTATTAGGGATGCAAGCAGCGCGGGCCTGCCCGCAAGCCCACTTAGCTCGCCCCGCAAAACAGGCCCGCTGGACAACCGTGAGTTGCTTGCTTTTTTATTGCGGGCTGGGGCAATCTAGCCTGCTAGCGCATGCGGGCAACTCACAAAGCCCGCAAAATCCTGCTAAGTCCTGCGACTATCGCTCCGCGTGCGAGGTTGCGACTCGGCGGAGACCTCTGCTAGGTATCGCGAAACCTGCTCCCGTCGGTGTTGCCACTCTCAGCAATGGCTGCTCCACCCACGTCCAGGGCCAAGATGCTCACCGTGGCACCGATGCCGGTGCCGGAGAAGCCCGCCGATGCCCCCGCCACCGTGCCGGCCAAGAAGAAGCCGTCGTCTTCCTCCGAGGACAAAGAAGAGGAAGGAGAAGGGTCCGTCAGACCCTGCGGAATCACAAGTCTATTTCTTTGGTTCCAGAACTGATCGAAAATAAAATTTAATTTTCAACTGATTGAGCTAATTGTCACTTGTCGCCTTGTCGGCTCATGTCCTTCATGAGGCATCTCCCAGGTCTGTAGCAGACTCTTAAATTTTCATTTCATGGAATGCACTGCAATACTAACTGTCTGTTTTTGCATGCTTCGGTTGTAGCAACATTTTTTTTTGAAAGACAAGCACCATTTGTTTTCAAATCCAAGCGGTGTGCTCACGAGTCACGACCATTACTCTGCCTACGTCTTTGCGTCAAATAGAAGCGGGTTTTGCAGGCTCCATGATGTGCACACGTCTATGCAGCACGTGTAGCAAGTTGTTGTGGCCCGATCTTCTCGTAGGATCTGCGAACTTGATAAATTGTCGTTGCGTGACCTGGTGAAGAGGCAATGCACCGCGAGGCTGTCCACGCGACGAACTACCGAGACAATCACCCTTCCACGTACCGACGAACAGCCCACACAATCACGCCGTATAGACATGAAGGCACAAACTAGGTGAACCGCAGTTCGGCGTTCTACAACTCCCTCAGGAATCGAAAGAACAAGTTTGCAAGCCTCTCAAGACTCACGCTGGAACAAGAATTCCAAGAGTTGGTATTTCTGAAATTGCAATCACGAGTTCCTGTTCACGTCATCCATTAAAGGGATATATAGCACTAGTGGAGTTTCAGTTTGGTGAAAAATAATTGAGAACATGTAGTGGGAAGTTGCATCACTACTTTTATTAATAACCAAGCCTAGTAGGGCGCCTAGCTGGTTGATATTCTCTGCATGCATGCTGGAGCGTGTGTGGACAGCAACCCAGTTGCTGGTTGCATGCATTCCTAACTCCCAAATTATTTGCTTGCACTTCAACGGCTGATATTCATGGTAGCTGAATGGCCTTTCCTCTCTCATGCACGTCCAGGTTCCATGCATATATTTGGCGGGCAGAATCCATCATCATCCCATGCTTGTTCGTGCACTCCATCATTCCTAAGAACATTGAAACAAGTACTCAAAAGCATAGGTTCATTCAATGTAATCTGATTATTAAGCATAAGGTTAGCGTTCACCTGAGAATGAATTTGCTTCTCCAATTGTTTAGCTCTACTCCTTGTAATTGGACCAGCTATATCAAGTGTAGCTTCATTTGGAAATGAGTGAATGCTAGGAATGTCTTCATTACTCCACCGCAAAGCTTGCAGAGCATGCGGGCTTAAGTGCTTTAGTAAGTGGGTGCCCGTTAACAGTGGCGGAGGCTAGAATAATTTTTAGTTGTGCTGGAGTTCTATAAAGATCAAAAATATATAATATGGGAACTGCTCCGGTATTCATCTTATTAAAAACGGGGGAATTCTCTGTGTGTCATTATAAAAGATCGTAATGCCCTGTGTGTCCTTGAAAAAGTTCAGCGGTCTTCAGCGCCACTACTCTAACTTTTTTGTGTCCTCCATGCCACTTCCGTCAGTTTGAGTTCTAACGCCGTCAAACTATAAGTGTGAAAAGACAAAAATACCCTTAAGTTTAAATATGTTATTCATTTTTTTGAGCATCTTAACGACTTCAAATAAAAAAACTCAAAACCATTAAGTTGTAGATCTCGTCGAGATCTATAATTTTCATATAAAAATTATTTTCATTTAATTCTGCAAAAAAATATGATTTGATATGATTAATATATCTTAGAAAAATCATATTATTTTTTTGCGGAATTAAATGAAAATAATTTTTATATAAAAATTATAGATCTCGTCGAGATCTATAATTTTCTAATTTTGAGTTTTTTCATTTGAAGTCGTTAAGATGCTAAAAAAATGAATAACATATTTAGACTTAAGGGTATTTTTGTCTTTTCACACCTGCAGTTTGACGGCGTTAGAGTCCAAACTGACGGAAGTAGTATGGAGGACACGAAAAAATTAGAGTAATGACGCTGAAGACCGCTGAACTTTTTTAGGGGCACACAGTGCATTGCGATATTTTATAATGGCACACATGGAATTCCCCTTTAAAAACTGCACACATCTCAAAGCAGTCAATTTAATAAATTAATGTTTTATATTATTTTGTAATTGGGTTCCGCATGGGCCTAGCCCGTCCAAGCCCAGCCCTGATCCAGAGGTGAAGTCACGTTTGTCCAGGTCTCCGTCTTCACGCCGCCATTTCCCTCGCGTCAGAACTCAAACGCGTCTGCTCCCTCCTCCGAATTCCGATCCCTGCAGAAGAAGCCTAGGAGCTCCCTCCTCCGGTCCCTTGCAGCGGTAGGCGGACCGAGCCAAGTGTGGCACCTCCTTCCCCCTCCTCCCCCGATCCCATTTGCTAACAGCCGGCAAGGAGGTTCAGTGGCGCCGTCGTCGCCGGGGAGGAAGAAGAAGCCCCCGCGAGCCGTCGGGCCACCGGCCAGGGGAGGCGCCCTCCCGCGCCCCGTCGCGCCACCGGCCGGGAGGTGCCTGTCCGCGCCCCCCTCGCGCCAACGAGCCATCGGCGCCCCTGTGAGCCGGGAGCCGCCAGATGCAGCACCGAGCAGTGAATATTTCGGCCTTGGCACTGAAGGAAGAGGGGACATCTTCGCTAGCTCTTGTTCCGCAGAGAAGAAGACACTCTCATTCTGCAGATTGCTCTGAATCCTCGTGCTCTTCACTTCACTTCTTTGTTGAGCCATTGTCAGAATGTCCACTGCCAAATTGCTGTCTGCCTTCTTGTTGGAAACATGTGTCTGCTTGTTCCTGCGTCCCTAGGTAAAGTATTGCAGGCACAGGAAACTCTCCAGCCTTGAGAGAAATGCCTTCTGAAGCCTGTACAACATCTTCTCTGACTCGGTATGGCTGCGAATGTCTCGTTTCTTCAGATTCAGAACATTTCGTTTCGTCTCTATGAGAGACATTGGCATTAACATTCTCATTAGAAACTAATGTTCCTTGGCTTCTTGGCTGAATGGTTTCAGCAACCTGCGTTCTGACTGAGTGCAAAGCGTCGGTGGTCCTATCTGCACGGCCCACCTCCAGTGATTTTTTTCCAAAATGCTCTATGTTTAGGAGATGCAGCTCTAGTCCCTTTTTTCTGACAGCCACTGCATCGGTGGAATAGTGGCAAGTAGCGTTGTATTGTATCTACTTTGGTATCTTGTACTTTTGTTTCTCTTGTTTATGTAGCATGAGATAGAAATAATAGGTGAGTGAACTTCTGCAAAAATATTGTTTATCATGATATAACAAAGAGTGGGTCACAGAGTCTGTTTTGCTTAAGGTCCATCGAAAGAATTGGTTTGAAGCTGTTGACATCTGGCAGCTATTCTTTAGTTATTATTCAGAGAAAGGTATAACTTGCTGAGTGTATGTAGCTTAACGATACGAGACTTTTTTGATATATCAGTCAATCTCAGTGTATAGCAATTTCTGAATCTTGCATTGCACATTTGAACATGAAGATTTAACTAGCAATACTTTTTTTAAAAGTAATTAACTAGCAATACTCTTCTACGTTGCAGCAGCATCCTGGTGTAAGTACCTCAGTTGGGGACGCCTTGCATCCATGTATTTTGCAATGACCAGTATAATATTCAGAACATCGCAAACATTAACATGGCTGCCTTTGTATGCAGCTGCTAGACGCTATCTTAAAGACATGCAAGCTTGTATATCTTAGTACCAAGTGAACCAACAGCTGCCTAGCTGATCTTATGCAATGCAAGTGGTAGTTGTTTCTATCTGCAATGATGGCCTGAAACCAGGTGCAGGACAGAAGATATGTACATATGGCATTGTGCTCACGTGCTTGCTGGTTAGAGAATAGGGTTCTTACTTGTTTAGTTAGCAGCCTAGGCCATAGAATAGAATGGCTAGAAATCTGCTTGTAAAATAATTTTGTTATTTTTTTCCACTTTATATTCATGATCCTGATCCACAAACTTCGAGGTGGTGTTCTAAGCAATTGTTGAGTATGTAAGTAATGAATTCCATCACAGTTAAGTGCTGAATCTGTAATGATACTAGTAGAGATACCGTGGGCTGGGCCGATCAAGGGACATGGGCTGGACCTGGACCGAGAGAAGATAAGGACCGGGCTCCTCAGTATTCCGAGGAGGAAAGCAAGCCAACATAAAAGGACTACCACCATCACCGCAAGCAGTGTCGAACGACCAGAACTCGAAGAACGGCGGGCTGCGCTCGAGGCGAGCTTTGCTCGATTCTACCCTTTTCCCTTCTTCCCCCTTCCAAAACTCGTATCCAGATCATTCTAGTAGCTTCTAGACACTTCTATTGTTGCATCTGTACTTCAGTTTTTGGATCGGACTAGTAGGACGGTGACAACTGGTACCGGAGCTCTTGATCTGTGGGCTCTCAGATTCCGCCATGGATGCCGCACAAGAGGCACGACGCAAGGAGATGCTGGACCAGATCCTCGTCATGGTGACGAAGATGGCGTCGGATTTGGAGGCGTGCAACGCGGCCTTTCGAACCGCCCCTCTAGCCTTCGTCGCTAACTCCAACAGCAGCGGGCGTGAGGTCGACGCCACCATCGGCACCGGCTACAACTCCGACAACTCCGTCCTCGCCACCCTCCGCTCCCTCGCCTCTTCCTCCGCTTCCGAATCCAAGGCCGCCGCTAGGTCTCTCGCGGACCACGACCCGTCTGCGGACCGCGCCTCCTCGTACATCGTGGTGGCCGACCAGGACTCCGCATCCGTCACTCCCTGCATCGACCGCTTCGTCCTCGCCACCGCGCACAGCATCCTCTACGGTCGGGGCTTCTTCTTCACGGTGCCCTCGCGCGCCACCTCCAACCAGGTGCTCGGCCGCCCCATCGGCAAGCACATCTTCGGTGACAAGCTTCCGGCCATGGCGATGACGCGGACGTTGGAGCTGACGTTGATCTCGGGCGACCCCCTGTCGCGGAAGCGGGTCCAGGCCGACTGCACCGGCGACCGTAACCCGATCTGGAACGCCACGCTCCGCATCCCAGCGACCGGCGCCGGCTCCCTCCATGTGCTCCTCCGCGCCGAGCGCGCCCTGGGCGACAGTGACGTCAGCGAGGTCCACATCCCAATCACGGAGTTTCTCTCTGTGATGCACACCAGGTGGTCGATGCAAGGTCATGGCAGCGACGAGGTAACAACTCTCAGCCTGTGTGCTTTCTCCATGACTGCTGTTGCTATCAAGGGTACACTTCACCATGAGGTGAATACATCTGAGTTGCTAAGGATCCTGATGCTAGTAGAGCATGTGAAACTGCTGTCATTTGGTGCCCTGGGAATGTCAATATTTGGAGTTTTTAAGGACTGGCAAGAGCAGCCATGGCCACCTCCTATGTTAGTGGAGATTTTGGGCAGCCAGGTTGAGGATAGTATCATTGAGCTACGACCAAATCCTTGGCCATCTTTTGAACACTCTGTTTCCTTGATATACAGAGTGAGTTACATGCTCCTATCATGTGACACAAATTTGCAGCAGCTTGGGAATTTAACTGGGTTTTCAATTATATGGGATGTATCTATTCTCAACTTGTTTGCTGATCCAAGTAAATGCAGAGTACAAATAGCTGCAATGATTTGTGTGCGGATTGTGTGGTGCTTCCCTAGTGAGCATGTTAGTGTGGACTACTTGCTTGCTCTGGTGCTCAGTTTGGGATGCACTTGCTGAATTGGTTGCCTGAGTTATTTGTCAATCTTGTTGCTGCCTATAATCAGTTTACTATGATGGCTCTGAATTTGCAAAGAGAAATCACCATGGACTGATCAGTTCTGCATGGTACCTGTCATTGTATTGGGATATTCAGATGGAACAAATGCAGAATGAGGATATGGTACTTGCTCATGAGAAGCAATGGCAAAATGAGAAGACGGTCTTATGCTAGAAACCGTGGGCACTGTATGGGCATAAGCAGGTCACAGACCAGAAAGTTGAGCTCCAGCCTTGGCCGTCTTTCAGTTGCTATCCAACTAAAGCTTGTGCTAATGCATTGAGTTATATTGAAGCGAGTGCAGACTCCAAGTATCACAAGTGTGAGTGCTGGCTTAATATTCACTCCATATGTGTATTGACTCGTGTAGCAGGCTGTTGGCATTTTTTGTTAGTACTGTTATCTCTAAAGTGGTCTGCACAGCTCCTAGATCTGGATGCAATGAGAAGGTTGTACTTCAGTTTGCATGTTCATGAACAGAAAGCTCTATATGTGCAGACTTGGAGGCTCATAAATGTACTGGACTGGTGCCAGATTCACAGCATCAATCTAAATCAGGTTTGCTTCAGTGAAATTCAGCAACTGTTTGGCATTCATTGGAAGGAAATTCGAAGGGAACTTCGCGACAATGGGACACCACCTGTGCAACTAAAGAAGGCATCCAGAGGTACTAATCTGCAGCTGTTACCTGTGAATTTTCAGTCATATATATTGGTGTGAGGTACTGCCAGTGAAGCCAAAAGTGCTGCTGTATTTTTGTAACACCCTCGGTGTTACATTATAAATCATTTGCTAAAACATATCATGAGCATCATGTTTATATGTTAATGCATGTAATAAAGAGTGCAGATCAATTTTCATAACTCAAAACGATCAATGGAAATACGAAATGAAAGTTAATTCAATAGTCATGTTATATCACTTAGGGTTTAAAACCAATTTTTATTAAGCAAAAATGCTATGAAACGTATAGTGACACTTAAAGAAGGTTGAAAGTACAAACTTTGTAGATGGCAATGAAATACTTGTTGTTCAAAAATATTATTGTTAGATAGTATTTCTAATAGCTTAGAAATGGAACTTGGACTAAAATTCAGCCTAAGATTTAGCAAATTTTCAAAGTTGAAAGCGGTGTAGGAGTGAATTGATTCCGAAAAATTTAGCTAAAGTCTTGTGCTATATTTTTGCTTGGTGGGTTGCATCCAAGTAAGTACTTGTCAATGGTATAGGGGTTAGTTTAGTTAGTATGTGCTTTGATCATCAATTAATTGCTATAAAAGCAAAAAAATGTTGTTTTGGCGTCGGTTGGCAACATCCACTTGGCATGCTCATATTTTCTTTTCTAGTCTACTTTGCTCTAAGTATGTTGCTCCATTCAGGAGACCTAGGTATCATCTTCAGCTTGGCTGAGTTGGTTGGGTCATAACCGAGCTAGATGGGTCGTGGTTGACGCTTTAAAAAGCGTGCTGGCTGTAGCGTTTTGGGCCGGTAGCCGAAAGTGTGCGTGGTCACGCGCATACTGGGCGCCATTGCCACCCAAACCGCAGCGCTGGTCTTCGCTGCCGGCACTGCGTGGTTGCACACGCCGCCGCTATGCGCTGCGCCCGCTCCCGCCCCTTGGTCGGTGGCGCTGTCGTCGTCACTTCGCTGCAGCCGCAAGACCGCTTCTTCATCGACCCGCTGCCCCATCGTCACTTCGTCGTCGCGTCTTTGCACGGCTGCACGGTTTTCTGTTGTCGCTACCGGTGCCAGGCAGCGTTACTGCTGCTGCTTGCCACCGCGTGCACGTGGGGTGCCACAGCCGCGCCGTCGCCTCGCCTTAATGGTGCTGCGGCGCGCGGGCCAGTGCCTATCGTGGCCGCTTGCGCTCGCCGCTTGCGCCTGGCGTGTGTACCCCGGTTGTGACACCCGTGTCCCGCCAAAGAGCGCTAGTCCGCGTCACTGCTCATCGCTGTTTCCACCGCTGCGCCCTTCCCTGCTTCC